TTGCATAGTGTGCCTTTAAAGGTGAATACACTTGATTTTAGAAATTTTAACTTATTTCTAGATCGTTTTTGCAGTATACCTTGCATATACGCAGTGTAACTGAGGCTGTTGGTTGTGCTGATGGTGCAGCTGTAAGCATCAGTAAAATTAGCTGGGAGAGTTATAGAGCTGTTGATTTTGTACAGTTTTTGCTCATTCTCTGAGATGACAGGTGTTTCCTGAGGAACTATGGTGGAAATGATGTTCCAGCTAAGAGTAGGTCTGGGATAGAGCCAGTCCGAACTGCAGATGATTGTATTCCCCAACTCCTCAAGGTTGACATTTTCAACCGGAGCTGCAACAAAGCACATTTCAATTAAACTAATTAGTATCAGTGCCGTTTCTGCTCAAATTTACCTGGACATTTGTTTTGTCTAACATATCTTCTGATTGCCATATCCTCAATGAATCACATGCCTCCACTCCTTTTTTGTCTTAGTCGTTGTTCTGCACTTCATCCTCTTCTCGTTCCTATTTTATACTCATAGTTCCTTAAAACTCCTCTGAGTCAATACGACCCCTAAATAACTGTCTCATAGGCTGATTCAGAGTTTCTGTGGAAATAAATCCTTCAGCTTCTTATTGGTTTCTTACGGAAGCCCTAAAAGGCAAGAGAAAAAAAAAAAATGGAAATAAAAGTTTGAAGTATTTTTTTCTTTTTTTTTGTCTTCTCTCTTGAAAGGCTAGTAAAAACAAAAATTTTTTTTTGTGTGTTTGATACTATATGCTGCCACTAGAGGCAGCATATAGTATATAAGAGTAATAAGACAGTCAGTTTTATTCTTTAACTGTATAGTCAGAGAGGCCTGGTTGATTTTTGGTTGAATTCGATTTTTGCAGTGTAGAATAAGATACAAATAAGGTGCAAAAACTGTAATAATTGGCATATGGTTATCATACCAACCTTTTATTTTTATTTGCAATAGGGAATTATTTGCAGGGGTGATCTTGCATATTTGTAGGCCAGCATCATAACTGCTCTTTCTTCGGATTAAGACTGTATTTCCTCGATAACCTTATTCTTGCTGTCAGTCAATGCTCATAATAACTTGTTAGAGTACACTGGACATGGGTGTAAGAAATATTGTGGTAACCATTGAAAACTAAATGTTTTAATTATTATATTTATTTATGTTTTAGCTATAACAGCTAAATGGAAAGTAGTTGGGAAACCTAAAGAGCTTTCAACCTCAAACCACATTAAACAACAGATGGGGGAAAACTCTTAGTTTAGATTATCAAAGTATATTTTTCTCAAAAAACAAAACAAAAAAAAAGCTTCAAACTTTTCTTTTCCAGATGATTTTTCCTTTGCCTTTGAGGCCTTCCGTAGTTTCTACTGTGAGTTCTTGGTCTACAACTCTTCACTTTTCATTACCAATATTATCTATTCTATTCTTGCTGTTGAGCTCTAAATCCAAATGAATAAAATAATAACAGGTTTGTTTGATCTGTACTTTTGTTCTTTTGCTTTCCAGAAAATGAATGCTAAAGTCCATCCATAGATTAAAACCTGTTAATCGAGAACTATGACTGATTTTTTTAAGTTTTCTGGAAACCTGCTGAATATTCAGACTTTGTACTCTGGGTGTGAAGGTCTGGTATGTTCAATCTAAGTTGAGCATTAACCATATTTCTGGAAATAGAGCTTTGATCTCAGTCATGTGACTTTATCAGGTGGAACCAGCTGATAAGTTGTGTTTAAAAATCTCTTTGA